AAAGAAGACCATGATTGCTCTGTACTGAGTTCTGTCCTATCAATTATATATCACTGCAAGAACTATTGCCCTAACATTTTTGACAGTAGATTTTCGAGACTTTTCATGAAAAATACTAATTCCCACACCTTTTCCAAGTAAAAAAGGTACACCTCCTCAACAACGCTGGAGGTGATCGTTTTCGAGATATTTACAATTTTCTATATTCTGTTACACCCTGTATGCAGTTGCAGATGTGAGTATTTTTATTGTCAGAGACATCTGATACCTCAAACACGTTTCAGCTTATGTAACTTCTACTGGCATTTTTATTAGCTCAGTTTATTATTCAGAAATTCAAGAAAATGATATTGAAGCAATAATAGTAGTGGATGTATTCTTGGCGTCCAAAGATATACAAAAACACATGTCTTTAGGCACTGTTTCCTATAAAATCAACTTCAATTTGGTCTCCCTGATTCATTTTATTTGTTTAATGCAAATCATCTCATCAACATTTGGGTTGAAACAAGAGAAAATAATTTATTGAAAAAAAATCAATTCATAGCGAGCTCCGAGAAGTTAGCATTGACTCTCAATTCACCCAACTTTTCTTACAGTAAACGAATTAAAAACAGTGAAAATTCAGTTTTTAATTTTTCAACTCACCCTTCAATACTAATTTCAATCATCCTTCATAATACCCCTGCAGGTTAGAGTAAACGTTAACACACATTCGGCCAATTTCCTTTTGTTTGTTTTCGACCTGAAAAAATACACTGAGATAAGTACTCATTATTTTTCTACAAACTAAAAAAACCTTACTCCATAACGGTTTTGATGAAAATCTCTTTTTGCCTAGCACTAATCCTGGGAGACGGAAAACCTTCTTGAGACATAAGCGAATTCAACCACCTACTCAAGTCATCACAGTATTTTCTATTTAAAGCTAGAATTATATCACTTAAAATATCTACAGAAGATCGAGGGGCCGTGTTCCCTGAAAAAAGTGATCGATAATAAAACGTTCGAGGATATCTATCTCGACTTTGCTTACCCAAGTTCATTAGTATTCGGAGAAGAAGACTTTCACCATAGGCCTGCACGACCTCGGCTTGAGACGTTTCACGACTCGTGAATATAAACTGCACCAGGTAATGGGAAATTTGCTTGAGAGTAGGTACTTCCGGTACAATCAGACATAAAATAGCTGAAACAAATAGTAATGTTACAACACTAATTACTACCCAGCTTTGTGAAGGGTTCATTTTGGAATGGGCTTGTTTCATGCTATGGAAAATGATACTGGTTTACTTATAGACTGATCGAGCTAGGGGTATATTATACTTATCAAGCCTAATCGATCCCAAAATCTCTTTATATTTGCAGAAAAAAGAATAATTCGAAAAGTAAGAATTTAAATTGGCCGCGTGTCTGTTGACCAATACAATTGATCGTGTCAAGAGCGGAGTTGCCAAGTGTATGGGTTTTTAATATCCAATCACAGATCTGATCATCCAATTTGACAGACGCCATTTTTGTTGTTATTGTTGTCAACTCGGTGTGAATACCACTGTTACAATTATCTAATTAAAGAACGTTTTTTCTAAAAGGTAGGTCTCGGCGGGTGCCTATTTTGCTGCATATTCCGTGTCATTAGTTTACATTCCGAAAAATATTTTTTCAGGTTATTTTTTGATTGATATGTTCTGGAGTAATTCTACATTTCACTGTACATATTTTTGCTTCTCTTTTCAATCACCATACTGCTCCTTGGCCGAGATAAAATAAAAATGAAATCAAAACTTTCCATCCTTCGATAAAAGACAAAGTCTAAAATGAATGTCATATAAATAAAAGGGACCTACTAAATATACCACCNAATAAAAAATTTATTAATACAAAACTGTTTTTATTCGATTGACGAATATATGAGTACGCCAACTACTGAACTTTTGAAATGACTTGTATATTTTTTAAGTATTAGTTTTAGTTGTTTTACGACAGTGTATGTTTCTATATACATGTATATATGTGTGTATATGTGTATGTATATGTATATATATGTGTGTGTGGGTATATTTATATGAATTTTTCAAGAACACGAGTGTGAATATGTTCCTATTTGACTTGCTACAAATATTTCATGTATATAACGTAGCCAATAAATATCTATCTATCTATCTGATCACAATACTCGCAGAGAAAATAAACTGAGACTACCTTACTCACGATTAGCCCTTGGGCAAGACTCGGCAAGCTATCAAGGAGTCATATGTTATAACAAAGCAACTAGGTTACTAGGAAATATTGAAAATCACAATTCATTCAAAACAGCTTTAATAGACCTTCTCCTAAAAAATGCCTTTTACAATGTCGAAGAATTTTTAGATTTTAATGTATAAGCTGCTTTTTCTTCAGTTTGTGTGACTAGTCTGATAAATGTTGTACCAGTAATGTATATGTTATATGTGTATGATATTTTAATGATGAATAAATTATATTCTATTCTATTCTGCATATAAAATATATGATATTAGTTTCTCTCGATATGGTAGATCATATTAATTTAACTTTAAGATGAACAACATATGCTGTTGACTTACCGCACTGAAAAATCGCTGAACTGTCGATACCGCACGTAGCTACAAGCCGTGGACACTTTTTCGTGAGAACTGTCAGCATCATGAAGAAATCTTCAAGCACTTCTGTCTTTTCGGACAACTGATTGCTCGTGCTGTACTGGGAGCACATTTGCAGTGTCGTCCTTACAATTTCTCGAAGTAGTTGCTGGTTAACTGATAAGAATTCTTCTTCCGAGTTGAACAATATCAACATCTGTAAGAAAAACGTGGATGATTATGATGCATGTAGAGACATCCAGAGACCCTACTTACAGTTTTAGCAACCGTTATAATGCTCGACTGCGGACACTCTGTATAGACGGTTAATATAAATCTAAAGATTTCTGGAATCAGCGATTTGCAGTCTTCTTTGAGAGTCGTGATGCCGGTTTTGTAAACCAAACTCAAGTCCTGAAAAATATGTCACTGCGAATTTAAAATATATCTCTCCTGACACCACCAGTGATATGACTAAACAATGGGCATGCCATCAGAAGACATATCGCGAGAAAAAGATAAATGAGTATGTGTGAGAGGTCTATCCTTCAATAACAGTAATAACATTTTCAATTAGCGATGAAAAACAAATCGGCCCTGACCGATACCTCAGCCAGCAAACACATGACTCGCCGGGAAAATACTAGGCGGGAACAGAGGCCACTAGAGGAATCTAGAACGATCGTTACCGATATAAAAGGTCGGCTCCCGTTCAGAGAGGGAGCATTTCCTGTAACTGGGTACTCTTGCTGGAAATAAATCGCTTTTTTTTTAATTGTTGCAAGAGGTCTATGGGGACAATTCTCTATCTGGTGCGCGTGTTTTTGAGGGGTGTAAGCGTTTCAGTGAAGGCCGAGAGAGCTCTGAAGATGACCGGCGCCCAGGTCGCCCTGTCACTGTTTCAACTACGGAAAGAGTGACCAAAATCAACCAAATTGTGCGTGCAGATTGTCGAAAGAGCTTCCGGATGATTTCCGAGGCTGTAAACAGAGCCGGATTAACCCTGTATGGGCCTGAAGGCAATACAGTTTTCGGGCCCCTTCGGGTTCAGACATACGCAGGCTGTATGCGTGCTCAACGCGGGTTGACTGCGTGTTAGTACAGAGTCACCCGCGGAGCCCACGCATAGAGTACGCGTACGTTTGATTCCGCCCTAAGCCCAGGTGTTTTCTACAGCGTGACCCATTTTTAATGGAAACACCCCCCTAAAATTTGAAGTTGTAAACCGATTTTNCCGATAAACGCACTCCAGTGCTCGAACACGCGCCGTACTCGCCAGATTTGGCACCGTGCGACTTTTTTTTGTTTCCATAGATAAAATCTGCTTCGAAAGGGATCCGATTTGAGTCGATGGGAGCGGCAAAGCAAAAAACGGTAGAGCTTCTAAAGGTCCTCACCAAAGAAGACCTCCAGCTCTGCTTCAATCATTGGAAAAAAAGTGTGGAAAGGTGTGTGGCAAGGGGAGGGGGGTATATTGAAGGGGAGCATTCGAATGTAGAATAATTTCTATAATAAAACTTTTTTTCGTAACCAGTCTCGTTATTTACTAGCCGGACCTCGTAAAATCAAAAATGACTTGAATAAGTATAAAGTCATTCACACTAATTTGTATTTTGCGGTGTCGAATGCTACTGTGAACAAATTATCATATTTTCAAAACAGGCAGTAATGAATTGAAAGAGTATTAAAAACGGTAAAAAGTGTTTGTTGTGGAAAATTAATGGAATTAAGAAACTTGACATCTACTTCAGTACAAAGAAAAGTAATGGAAAGTTCAATACATTTTCAGATGATTTCACTGGATCTCAACATACTTAATTAGATAAGTATTTAACATTCATAGAGACAGATCCTGTATTTTCATGCTCACCTTTCTTCTGTAAAAATTTTGTTTACACCTGACAAAGTAAATATTGTTGAATATGAGAGTTGCCTTTTATTTTACGGGATTAGAGAACAAAAACAAATATTAATCATCNATTTTTATAATTTTGACGAGTATCTCAACAGTACCATCATTATTGATATGGACTGACACTTGTACTTGTATTTTAGATAACAAAAGATTTTTAACGTGTAAATTATATAAGTGTGTTTTATACATTGTAATTTTAGTTTATTTTATTTATATTCATTTTGACTTGTGTAAAACTGTATGTTAAACAGCACCAATAAACTATTCTATTCTATTCTAATAAAGTACACAAATTGAGTATTGAAAACTGTGTTTTGTTCTCTCCCTAAGAGTAAAATACGTAGATAAAAAGTTTATCAACCATTACAATAATCTCCAAATGGTCAATAACTTTCTTTCTATCTGTAGCTTTTACAAAACAAAAGACAGTTAGATGACTAAAGTATGATATTGTGTCTCTGGAAAAATATCTGAAACATTCAGTTTTTGTGAGTTGTAAGATTCAACGATTTCCAAGCTTCAAGCACAGAATTTTGAATAACAAATAAACATTTGTTTTGTGTTAATGCGATATACAAAATGATTCCTCTGTACTGAGTTCTGTCCTATCAATTATATATCACTGCAAGAACTATTGCAAAAAGTTCGAGAGTTTGAGAAAACAATAATATTTAATTCTGTTTTCTAGCCGTGTAGTGAATCACACGTTAAAAGGTAAGACCTCGTTAGTCCTTAGCTCGCACAAGTTTCTCAACTTCTGAGAGTTGTCGTTCGTATGGGAGCGACAGGTGATTAACTGAAAAACAGATTTTAAACAGATTTTTTGAAGAGCCACTCAAAAGGCAGTTCAAGTCTTCAAAGACAAAAAAGAGCAAAGGCGGACAATACAGAACAAGAAAAAGAGGAAGAAAATATATACAGGGTGTAACTAGTACGTTAAAATATTCAAGTGACGTATTCCTGAGACAATTTTAAGAAAAAAATCTTTATGAACTTGTGTCCGAAAATGCTTCGTTTCGGAGATACGGGGTGTTGGAATTTCATAAACCTCAGGGACATAAATTCTTTATAAAGATATCCTATATAGAGGTCCTATCAACAGAACAGGTCACAAACAGTGATAAGCCAAGGTGTTCACAGTCAGTCCTTGGCCTGCAAGCAATGAGTTCCACAGGGGTCTATACTCGGACCACTGCTTTTTCTTATTTATGCGAACGACTTGATACAATACCTAAATAGTCTTTTGAAGGTACATATAGTTGCATATGCAGACGATACAAATGTTCTGATCATTGATCATAATACATTAGGACTTGCAGAAACAACAGAATCCATGTATGAGAAAATAATGAAGTGGGCTGATAAAAACTATTTAGCAAAACAGCATTAGAAGTCAAAGTCTCGGTAGATAATAACATTATCCTGAGGTGGGTTAAAGGGCACGACAGGAGTAAAGGTAATCGCATTGCCGACTCTTTAGCCAAGAAAGAGGCTGAACTAAGAATTTTAAAAACCAGTGGCACTTACGGCCTGATGACTTCGATAATTGCGGAACTAGCCAAATGTTATACCCATGCTCAATCCCCAAAGAGGTGGGATGAAATCAAAGGATGCAATCTTGCCAGGATCACCCTGGCACTTCTCGTTCACCACAACGGATTCAATAATCCCCCGGAGCGTAGGGCAACACCGGTATCTCGTCAATACCGTAAGAGTGCCGTAGATGGTAATATAGCACTCTTAGGGCCGCGTTATGTCGATGGATATAGGCCGAGACCGCATATGCTGGCCATGCTGATAGCAAGTACATTAGAGTCTCGGGCGCCTCGCGGCAGGCCCTGCACCTTATGTCAGGACCCTCTATAGCCATCACGCGACTGACTGCGGTAGACTTAGGTGTTAAAGACATCATCCTGGCAAGCCATGATAGACCCCTCAGTTTCTGACTTCTGCCCACTCGACCTGAGAAAAGCGAACGTCAGGCGCTTTGATAAGCCAAAGTTTTGTATGTTATTGAAGAAGACCCCACGCATTGGCTTATCCTTGTGTTTCCGCAGAAACAAGGTGATTTCTGCGGCTTGTATCTGAGCTTTTTGCTGGACGGGTTCCACCTCGTTCAGTGTTGAAAACTATACCGAGTTCATCAGCTGCTCGGGCAGCTGCCCTAAAGAGAAATGCTCCAATTCCTGCTCTCTCATGGTCACGGACCATGCAGAGAAGTGTATCCGAACTCCTGACGACTTTACAGGCTGTATCCAGTACCATTCTGTCATGTAGACACTCCAAACTCACGGCCTCCCTGTTGTCGGGGGAAGTATTCAAATCGTTATTTTCAAGGTCACGCGTACGGTTGAGAATCATAGTACGGTTGAGAATACATAGTACGCCGAACCAAGCCATACTGCGCAAAGCGTAACTGCGCAACACCAAACTATACCGCGCTCTCATTGGCTGGTGTCACAGAATCGGTGTTGGTGATCTACTTACCCGTGCACCATTTTTATTTTATTTTCATTTGGTATGTATTGCATTTTTTCAAGTATTTACTAGCCAAGCTTTGCCTACAAGATTATGTCTTATGATAATAAAGCATATTATTATTATTATATTATATTATCTATGTAAATTGTATATTGTGCCTCTAAGTGCACGGAGTTTGTATTTATAATTTTGTATTTGTACACGTTTTGACATACTCAATGTCATCTATAGATCTTCCAACTGAATATTATTATTATTACTATTATCTTGAAGTTATGTGCCGCAAGAAGCAATACAAAAAATTTGACAACGGCAGTAACATTGCCGTTTGGCGTTAGGCGATAGCTCAAGTAGCGGTACATCAAAGAGATTAACGTGAGAATTAATGCGATAAAGCGGCCACACTACGTCAGTGTCAGTGTCCATCTTCCAAATAGAATTAACGCCGTTTTTATCGCCAATCATGGACATTACCGTTGACCGTATTAAATGTAGCCACCCAATTTAGCGCGTTAAAAATTATCGCGATAATAATGGCGATAATGGGAATTGACGGTTAGCCGTTAGTGTGGCCCCAGAATAAGGGGAACTACTTTGAAGAGAACAAAACAAAAATTGATGAATAAATAAATAAATATTTTCATAGAAAAAAGAAAATTCACCTTATTTTTTGAAAAGATCTTGTATACAAAGCAGTTTGATACCATGTTGTCTAAATGAGAGAGAGGCAATTGATCACTGGGTCCAAAATCCTTCGCCCTGAGCAAATGTAACGAATTGAGAGAAAGTCTCGAACACTCATCTTGTCGAGTGACATTGTGAATGAAATTACATGTTTATCTTTTAAAAAAATATTGAAATTCTCTTCCACTATTGATAAAGCAGTTAATATATCTACTTACCTATGGTTTCGAGAGCCGTAGCCATAAGCTTCACGTTCATCTCGTTGAACGGAATATCCCCCAACGTATTCATCAACTTAGGTATGTACAAGTTCTCGGATTCTATTCCTTCGGCGACGGCCCCATAAGCATGGAGCACCGACTCCAACTCGTTCCACCTAATCGTCCGAGTAGCGCCATGTTCGTCTGTCTTCCGAAGTGCCTCATCCAACTTCGTGTTGAGAATGTCCAACATTTCTATGTTGAGCACGATGTAACAGTGTACAAAGGTGTCAGCGATATCTTGTCGATGGCAGCGGAACAACTCCTGATCTTCCTGGGACCAATTGTCGTCGTAAGGGTACATGCCTTTCCGTAACAAGATGCAGACTAGGTGTCTGTAGTAGGGCTTCACGATTAGAAGTAATTGTGCACACCGCGCTGCATTCATAGAAATGATTTCATCCTGTAGAAAAGTTTACCGATCAATCTAGATCAGGGGTGGGCAAGTAGTTTTAGGTGGGGTCCAGATACTATGGGAAAATTTAAACGGGGCCCAGAAAAAAAACAAATATTAATAATGAAGTGCTACAAATCACATTCTGAATTATGAAAGAAATACAAGACCTCTTATTAATGTGAGAAACTACACCAACGGTCTTGAGGTAGTTTTTTATAGTTGGTTCTCGAGGAACAGCAAATTTGAAGTGAGTCTTCTAGGTGAGCGTCTGTTAATCTTGAACGGTATTTGTTTTTCAAAAAATACATCTTTGAGAAAGATGTTTCACATATGTATGTCGAGCCAAACATAGTGGCCAAATTGATAGCTAATCTGTTACAATTTTCGTATTTTTCTGGGACATGTTTGGCCCAAAATTCTTCAGTGGATACCGTTCTATACATTTGCAAAGACACATCTTCTTGCAAATCAATTATCTCCATTTGAAACTTCTCTAAATTTCTGGCAAATAGTAGTTCTTGATATATTTTCTCAAGTTTTAATAAACCTCACGTATGACAACAACAATGCTTCATTGGTTGGTAAAGTGGACTCATCTAACTGAATTGAGAATTTAGGCAGCAGAATATGAGGCAGCGGGCGGGCCTAGTACTTTCGAGAATGGAGACTAGAAACTTCACGCTTCGCATTGAAGCTTACCGCCATCTATTGTACAGTTTGACAACTATCGGACAGGAAACAATTACTGTCTAGTCCCCTAGATGGCGTTACACGAGGAAACGAGCGTTAAACGTAAAGGAACGGTAAAGTTTGTGTTGAAAGCAAAAAAACATTTTTAAATTAGCCATCGCCCCCCTAAACCGCTTCAACGCCCCCCAATCTTCTCTGTGCCCTTTACTGCCCCTCTATAGGCCTCCAGCGCACACAAGGGGGCGTTATCGCCCACTTTGAGAAGGACTGCTACATAAAATATATTGTAGAATAGTTTCCTGTAGCAGTAACTGATAAAGCTATCTACTAGCAAAACACATTTTTAATAAAATTTATTGTGAAAATTCTATTATTGTTATTATTGATAGTGACTTATATTAGATATAAATTGTGTTATTGCCAACATTGTTAACTTGCCTTTCTTATATCCATGTTGTTCATCACTGAAAATTCAACATTTATCGATACAACTTCTTGGCTTCATATAAAAAGTTAATTAAATTTTGAAAAACTGGACGCGATCTCAAGACCTAAGTTTTTCCGATTTTTATGGATCCTCCTTTTCAAAAACTGCTTCAACAATAAGACAGCTTCTAATTTTGTAGAAAAATTGGAGACTTGAGAGAATTATTTCGATATGTTGGTTCATTTTTTTTCTAGGTTAAGTAATTTAGGAGTCCGCGATGGACTCCTAAATTACTTAACCGATTTTAATCAAATTTGCACACCATGTGCAGTTTGATGCAACTTGAAAGATAGGATAGCTTACATCTTATATTATAGTAGCAATATTATTTTATTGCAAATTATTTGTCTATCATTTGACATTCACAATTATCTGTTAACTCCACACGATTTTAACAGATGGCGTTATCTGCTGACTGGATTGAGTAAGTAATCAATAGATGGCGCTGCTATGTTAAACCTACAAACGTGTCATTGCACTTCTCATTTAAATGTGCTATAATAGCATGTTTTTTTCAATTATGCAACGTTTCCTGTTTGGTCATCAGAAAGATCACCGGAAATATTCTTGAAGCAACCGTTTTAGCTGGGAAGTTTAAAGGAAAAGTGGTCCTGTTGCCACGTATTCCAATGATACCGTCAGATTCTACCATACCCTTCAGAAGGCTACAGTTTCTAATTCGTATAGCTTTTGCCATGTCTATAGATGAGTCTCAAGGCAAAACAATGTCCATTTGTGAGGGGTTACGGTAGTAGAAAATCTGTGTCATGGAGGTCGCCATATTTTTTAACAAATGGCATCTATGCAAAAAAACATGGTGGTCCCTGTGACTGATGTTCTCCTGCCGTTCCTCTTAAATAGTTTACTACAATGTAATATAACAAAAACCTTAGCTACAGCAACGCGTAGCCGGGTCTGCTAGTTTATTATATATTTACAATTTCGATAAGATATTTATTATTTGTTTTACTTGCAAACAACTTTTTCTGGGTTAACCTGTATAAAACAATCTCCTCTACAAAGAATACTGAAGGAAAGAGCAGAAATATAGTTTCTTTGAAGGTTACCTTTGAGTAAACACAAAATGATTGAACTAAATTATTCACAAATGATTTTTTTCTATTAGAATGTATTAAAAACTTACTTGCAACGTAAACCAAAACCCAAATGTGAATGTACTACACAGTTCGTCTACGGGATACGAACCAGGCAAGTCTGTGCATTTCAAAATTGAGTTCAATAGTTGGAAAGATATGGATTTTTCTTCTGGATTCGGATTGCTGAGATTTTCTATAAACACCTCAGATTGCGACTCTCCAACAGCCGTAATCAATCCATACAAGCTGGCAACTAATTCCTAAGGCAGAAAGAGAAAGGATAATAGAAAACTGAAAGAAACGTTCATGAAATATCTTTCAATTTTCACCACTAGATGGTATCTGAATTGAAAAATCAAATACCTTATTCGTTTCTTCTTGGTTTCTTTCAGCTTCCAAAATCTTATCGAATTTGGAGAGTACATTTGCGGAAAATTTCAAAATGTGGTTTTTGAATCGCGAGGTATAGGGATGCTGTATTATGCCAACCAAAGCTTCCAAAGTCACTTCTATCAGGTCCATCTCTTCCATTACTAAACCGTCCGGATCACTTCTATTCCTGAAATCAATACATAATTTTTATGGTCTATAGACAAGTTATAATCAGGATTTGTAGATTGGCAAAAGATATTAACAGTGACTGTTTAGAGACAGAGAGTTATCTTGTGGATAAAGTTTCAGTTAATCTATAACAGAGTTTTTATGTAGAAACAAAGTGTATTTAAATTGATCAATATTCACTTAATACATAAAATCAGTTTGTATATATAAAAACATATAAGTCATACAGAGGGTACTGGCATATAATAAATTAAAAAAAAAACAGTTTGTATATATAAAAAACATATAAGTCATACAGGATACTGGGAAATAAATGTGTAAAATTTTTTTGTTTGTATATATAAAAACATATATGTCGTTCAGGATGCTGGTAAATTTATTTATTAATTTATTTATTTGACACTTTGGTACATTGAGTACATGTGCTAAGTCATAATTAAAAAACAAAAATAAAACTACAGAAGTTGAACAATACAAAAATAATAAATATGGTTCACGTCCACAAACTTTCACAACATAGAAGTATTATATAAAAAATCGGAGAAGCTCTAGCAAATACTCTCAAAATGTCATGAAAAAGTGTCGAATCTGTTTAATGTATCACTTCAGGTCTTTCAAAATCAATCTATAAGGCTATAGCGTTTCCAAAGCTTTTCTTTACCTCAACATTTTCTATGTAAGTACCAGATTTGTTACATCTTTTTCCTTGTACCAGAATTGTTTCATCTTTTAGTAATGTAGTCACTAGACATAAGGATTTATTAATATTTTGTATTTTACACTTCGCTAAATGTTTTGTAAAATTCTAATGTAGACATCAGACATGAGTATCCAAAAATACTTTATAGTTCTTCACACTTTGTTAAATATGTTTTTGTAAATTGGCTTTGCTGGTGAATAAATAAATGAATATACAATATACTGCGCTTTTTGAAATGCACACTTTCTTTCGACGATCATTCAGTATCGCTTTGTGGATTTTTTTCAATGTTCTTGAGTCGTCACCCCATTTGGTAGCCCACTGCGATACTTTTCTTGGCAGCTCGTACAGCCTCGTTTGAATTCTGCTACCCAATATTCTACTGTTGTGAACGAAGAAGCAGACTCACCCAGAGTAGAATCCAGTACAGTTTTCATATTGGTTGAGCTGAGGCCTTTCAAATGAAAGTATCGTACCACATAACAAAATCGTTCGCTATTGGTGGCTGCCAAACAAATACTAAACAACGCAGCGTCTTCAAACTTGAAACATATGCTTTACAGATTGTGTATTTTCTAATACCGTGATATTTTCCGAACAACTACCGCCATCTCTAGGTCAGGCTAAGTAGTTCTGGCACCACCCTAATAAATCACAACGACATGCTTCTCTCTTTGCACCACTTATCATTCATATAAACCTTTTCTTACCAATAAATAAAGCACGTCAAGTCAATCAACAAACTGGTTACGTCAGCACATTCATCAATACCTAATCCGCCTAACTGGATCCAAGAGGCAGCGCATCGTGTTGCGTTAGAGTATGTTGTCAAATGGTCCATAGAAAAACTGAAATTCATAAAGCTTTATGTGAATTTTTGGACGTTATATATGGCCATTACCTTGCGGTCGGTGCAGGTATCAAACACATTCCACAAACTTTCAAAATATCTTTGGAAACATCTTGAAGAATTTGGTTTATATTAATCCGATGGCTTGCAGCCAAGGTTGTAGTTTGGAACTGCAATAAACTAGTTTTGTATTCAATGCAAAGCACGTAAAAGACCTTTGAAAATTCTAATGGTAATGGACTGAAAATTGGGTTCTCATCATGCCAATGCAAAGTGTCACTAGTCTGAAGTTTGAAAATAATGATTAACTTGACTGATGATTGAGTTAAAAGTAGGTGTCTAACTGTAGCACACTCTGATAAATAATATGTGGGGCCTGCCCCACATATTTGAAGTGCATTGGAGAACAGAGGCTAAAGTCATAAAGACTATTTACACACAGCCGAAGGCGCGAACATTTTTTGGGGTACCGCACCTATTTAAGGCAGAATACGTAATATTTACATAAATGCAAACAAAAATTGTGTATTTCCAAAAATTATACGTATAAAACTGACCATTAAAAAAACAAAAACAAGGAAAAAGGGTTGTCTTTGAGTTATTTAATATAAATGAACTCTTCTCAGTCAATAAATAATAATACTATTCTCTTCTAATGTAACAGTTTTGTTAAAAATTGCTACAAATATTTTATAAGCACAAGTACTTAATTATGCTTATCTTTAACATATCTAAAAACGATTGAAAGTTGTAATGTACAGATAATATCGGTAGTTTCATCAATTTCCCATGCGAATAAGAAACACTTTCAATCTCCTTGTCTATAATTTCCTTAATAATATATGCCACACTGTCTATAAGCTCATTTTGTCTAAGTTGGTGAGGTCGTTAATATAAGTGAGAAATAGAGTCGGGCCCAAAACTGATCCTTGAGGAACTCCACTCTCAATTACTTGCTTTCCAGGCTTAATACCATTAAATGATACAATTTGGCCACGCTCCAATAAGTACGACCTGAGCCAGGACAGTACCGTGCCTCGGAACTCATAAACTTCAAGTTTGCGGAGCAGTATTCCATGACTGCACTGCACTGTATATTTCAAGTCATTTCTATATGTATCACATACATTTTTTACTGACTACTTTTCCAGCTCATTTGTATATTAGGATATCCAATTTCAATAAAGATCTATCTGTCTATCTATAGGAAGACTTTTGACATATTTTTCCCCAATTTTCAGATTTTCCGTTGAGTAGTACTTTGCATAAGTATGCTGAGATTACCTCTCAACAAATTTCCAGCCTATTTGCAAGTTTGCGATAAAAGAAACTAACCTCTTCAGGTATCACAGTTAAAATTTCCAAAAGAATCCATATTATTCTTTCTCGGTCAACGTTCGGCAAATACTGCGGCTGGAAACCATTAACCAAATCTTCAAATGCACTTGGCCAGTGAGTTGGGAGTGTGTGGAGGACAAAAGCTGACAACTTAAAAAAAAAACAATGTCAAAAAATAATTTCTCTTGTTGATTAAAACTTTACCGCTATACACAGTCTGTTAAGTACAAGTTTTGGACCCATTGCAAAGCTGATAATTGCATCCAATATTCGTTTTTTCAACATCTCATAGTGGTCTTCTGGTACTTCATGCCAAAATTTCATCAGTTTCGTATGTAGAGTTGTAGCAGCGAAAAACTGCACATCTGGACTCTAAAAATCGACCCAAGTTGATGTCAACTCATGAAGCATTCCTAGATGAAAACTTTGAAATTGCTTTTTTTGAACTTCTACACCACCTTTATTTAATAACTAGAAACATATCGTCTTCAAAAAAAAAAGAAATGTGACAAACAGGCGAGTTGTAATGAAAACTGTTTTTTAGTCAGATGTGTACATCTTCAGACATAAATTAGAAGCATTGATTAAAACAACTGTAGAAATTGAGGCTTTCGTGGCCATCTTCTGAAATATTTTAGGAAGCTCAGCGAGTGTTACATGTAAAAACTTGCAAATTCCATATTGAGTACGTGTCGAGACTTGCAAAGCGCCGCCGCCGTCCGCAACACTTGTTCAGGCGTGCAAAAAGGATAAACGTTACTCATTTGTTTCCAGAATCTTATTCAAAAACTATTTATTCAGATTATGACCTATAGACCTGAAATCACAAAGTTTCAACTGAAACAACTACTTTTCAGGGCAGATCCCAATTTCTTGAAAAATTTGTAGACATAAGGCAAAGTATTATAATCCACAATATATTTTTAAACAACATATACATTGATTACTTGAATTACCTAAATTTAGGTAAAAACTAGTTGAAATTTTATTATCAGGAAAGAAAACTTTTTACCAACTCATTAAAAGAACATGTGAAAAACTAACCTCCTATTTCGATACAAAACAGATTCTGAAGAGGATTCAATTATATTTGATGATTCAGTATATTTTCAGTATTCTTTGATCTAATAATTTCTAAGCACTAGAAAAGACTGAATTGAAAATAATGATTTGTAAATGTGGAAATTGCCTTTACATTCAAGAAACAACTCTTATGTTCTTTTATTCTTTGGGAGAAGATTCTCCCTGTTTAGCCAATATAAAGGTTTGGCAAGAGCCACAAGTCAACTTATATACTCCTGATCTATCCGACTCTGAAGTTTTGTCTGTATATTTTAATAGATTTGCTTCGATTATTCATCAGGTAATCTACGTCCAAGTCTGTACTTTTCAAAAAACGAGCGATATAACTGTCAAAGTCCTGTGACGCTTATTTTTGTTGATTGAAGTGGGGGAAACCTGACAAATGATAGGCACTAAATACTTAGAAACGACTCAATCTGTCTCTTGCAGTGGCGTACAGAAATGAAGAATAGTTCTCTCTTTCTCTCTCTCAATGGAGAATCTGCTGAAGTGTAATGAAGGACAAACTGAAAAGTTCATCCTGAAAAGTTACAGTAGACAGGACACACGATTCTACAAAGCAATTAAGAATTGATTTACATGTATAAATGAAATAAATCACTTGATTTAACCTCAAAGATTCAGGTACTCAAAATCTGCCTTCAAGATATTCTTCCGAGCTAAATTATGCTTTCCTAAGTAAAAGTGCCTTCACACATGTTTAAAATGTTTTTGAGTTTGTAATACTCATCATTTCAAATGGTAGATGATTAAATATCTTCTGACTCTTAAATATATTTTGAATTAACATGTATTTCAGCAATGTATTGATTCCTTGAAATAATACTTTTTTCAAATTGTTGGAGGTGAAAAAACCTGAATGAAAAAGTCCATATCTTCTACAAAAAAAGACCTTTAAGCAATAGTCAAGAGTTTTTCAAAAAATATTGATGATTATTTCAAAACTTGATATTACCCTCTGCGGACTTAATAATTCCCAAACGAATCTCCACGCTTCCGTAGAATGTTGAGCATCTTGTAACCACTGGTGGGCTTCTGCTTGTTGGTGTGAATCACTTCTATAAAACAATTTGACGGCATTTTCCAGATTTTCTGCGGTAAATTCCATTATTAGCAGATATAAAGTATTTTCTAAAATGTGTTAAAACAGAAACATTCGGGTGATAACTCAGTTTCCAACTCCTTGTATCAGGTGCTATCTGCATTTAAAAAATTAATTTGGAAAAACTTTCAGGCAGGTACTGTCACTGTCATTATGCTGTCACCTGAGAACATTTTGCTTCTTCTTCTTCTTTTGATTTTTTGGGCTTGACAACTAATCATTGATCCAGTACCGATAATCAGCGGATAGGGGTAACTGGGAAAATATACCTCTCTTTACAACTTGTATTCTTGAGTGGTTATATGTTAATAAACATACATAGTGTTGAGGGTTTTGTTTATTCGGAATATATTCTCATAACGAATTATGGAGCCGGAATTATATATAGTTGAGTCAATCATGATTGCGTGTTTACAAGTTAGCTTTGATAATGTTAATAAGTAGTACACGTTCGGGGTGAACTCTTTTACTAAGCAAAATTCTGAATCAACATATGATGACCTTATTTTTCATGAATTGGTCTGAAATTTCAAAGTCTCACTGATTTTGAAATTTCAATGACATTTTTTTGCTAGTCAGTTCAGTTTTAGAATTACAATTTTAAACTGTTCAATCTTCCTTTTGAAGATGATCACTTGGTAATCGAAACACGTGTCGAGGTGTTGAAATAACGGTTTGGTGTTGGGATAAAACTCCAGTTATATTCATTAGGTACAATACTACAGGTGTCAAACAATGCTTCACAAGTACTATTGTTATAGTTAACTTTAAGGTGTCATTTTTTGTGTAACAATAATTCAAACACTGCATTTATGTACAAATCACGTTTAATGAATAAATAAATATCTATCTTGTCTCTTCTATATACTATGTACATCATCCACAAATATACAACTGAACAAAACATAAATAATAAATATGTTGTAATATTTAACGAACAATAAAAATAATTATATGAAACTATTCTGAGAAGTGAACAGTTGATAACAAAAATAAAATATTTTTCAACGAAACTTCTTAAAATATTAATTGCACTGCAGTTAATTAGTTTGGTCATCATCCTTCTCTTCATTGCTGCCCTGTGTTTTTATAGCTCCTTATATCAATAAATATTTATTCCACTGTGTCGTAGTACGTACTGATCGATAGAGAATGATGTACTGTATACATTGTAGTCCAGCAGAAGTTTCTCGTTATTCCAGCAACAGCATCAAGCTGAAATTATTCGAGTGGATCACCTATAGACCGGTTTCGAAGTATTACCTCTCATCAGTGCAGAAAATGATAGTGTTAATGAACGCACTGAACGCCATCCCACGCATCACAAACGATGCTACCCTGCACTATTTCCCTTGAGTCTATACATGGAAGAAGTTCTCATCAGTTTTCAACTTTGAATCGTTCTCAATTACAACCTACAATAGCCCTAATGGAGAAGTCAGTCAGTCTCCTGGGTCTTTCAACAACAGGAGCATCGAAATTCGATCGATCTAAACCATTTTGAACGTGAGGCACAGGAAGGACAGGTAAGTTCCATACGGGCAGGACTGGGTAGGTATAGTACGGAAAGCAATTCTGTTGTGTTGGTAGCAAGCAACAAGGAAAGGAAGTGGGAAAAGTTGGATATACCCTCTGAGGATGAACAGTTGGAGGTAATGATGCTGTAGAACTAGGAGTAGAACAAGATGACGAAGACCGATGGTCATCTTCCAAGCTCACCGGTGATAACCTCTCCACTTTTGTCTGTTTTTGACAAGGTTCTTCTCCGGTTTGCGATTCACTATCTTGTCTTTTCCTCTTACAGTTAGCCCGTCCGTTCTTCCTGAATCCTTTGGCGAAGGGATTATTGTCAATCTTTAATTTCGTAACTTGTTCGTTCTGGTACGCCGTTACAGCTATGAACTCAGTCTCAGGAAAGACAACAGAAGAGGAAGGAGCATACATCGCTGATGTAGCATCCGACGTCTGAGCGATTATGATTCTCGGTTGATACTTGTGCATGGATGAGAGCACGATTTGATCAGTCGTTGATGAGTCGTTGTTGGTGCTATTCGTGAGCTTCAACCTGCTGAATGAGATCGTTTGAGACATCCAATGTTTTCCGGTTGAAGGCGACTCAGGGTGCAGATAGACTCTCTGGGGACTTTGAGCCTCTTCAGTGCCAGCAGGGGTCCAGCCTCCCGAGTTTCCATACTTGTACCTGCAGTTAGATGAAGGCATCATTTCTATCCAGATACAATAGTATGCCTTGGGGTCCAGATTGGAGACTTGGATATTCAGAGCCGGGAACAACCTCCTGAAAAAAAATGTGTTATAGAAAGTTTCTTTTTTATGCACAAACATTGAAGTAAACGAGATCTAGCAATCTATTTATTATGGTTGTTCAATAAACCAATACCATTTGATGTCGTATTGACAAAGTTTGCAAGAAGTAACCTTGAAACCAACATATCTCCTGAGTTACTGAGAAATTCTTCTGAAGATGAAGTAGATAACTCAGTAAATATCGTGTCAAGAAGAGTTTTGCAGTTCCTGAGTTTGGTAGCATTGCTTGTTTTAGAATTTAAATAATGCTGATCTTTTAATCAATTATAACGTACGTCGTTGTGTATTTTTGTTAATTTCACACCATAACTATGGAAATTAAATATTTCGTGTACAAGTTTTTTATTCATTTGAATAATATTGAATATTATGAGTGTAACATTTTTTGCTGTTGAAATATACGTATTTTCATCAAGTCACAGGAGATTGTTGAATATAAGACATATTTATGATGTAGATATTGTTCTTCAACATGATGACATGACAACTACATATATTATTAGCATTAGCATTAACACTCAAAGCATTAGCAATACTTTGAGTGTTAATGCTCCAAATGCTTTGTTCACCGAATGGAATCTATTTAAATATAATTTTGGATAACCGAGCTTTTATAGATTTGTTGAAAATTATGTTCGTGGAATAATAATTATATGTAAAAAATATAAATTATTTATACGATATGAGAAACGTACAGTGTGCCAATTTTAAAACTTACAATGGGCTAAATCTCAAGAACGAAAGCTGATATGGAAAAATATTTGAAATCGTTTCTAGGATAGTAAGGGAAAACTGAAGTGACATGAAAGAGAACTCACCCCCATCAACCCCCTAGGCCCCACCCACCAAAACACAAAAAGTTTAAATTGCAAACCCCTACTTGTGATACATCATTGAAAATACTATAAAAATGCTATCCAATGGTATAAATAATAATTGTACAGGGTGAAGCAATAATTGTGAAACTTTTGCTTAAATGGAATATTTAATGGAGTTTTTGTTGAACTGCAAATTTATTAAAAATGTCAATTAAGTAAATGCTCAAAGTGGGTTCCGTTGTTTTGCAAACAATAATACAGGCTATTTTCAAATTCTGCACGAACTTTGGCAACTCAATGAAACCTCTCCTTCCAATCAGGGCCTAACTGGAGCTGCGTAGTGAGGAGGTGCTCCATCTTGTTGGAAGTGGAGCAAATCTTCGTTTACAGCTAGGTTGCCTTGGTCATCCCTTTGGCTCTCTAATTCATGCACAATTAAAGGTTCGATGGTGTTTTCCAGCGTATCGAGATAAATGTCGCCACTTAAATTGCCTGGTATGAACAAGAGACCAATTATAGCATCGCCTTATATTCTTGTCCAAACATTCAGTTTTTCAGGATATTGAGTGTGGCCTTCTCTGAATCGATGCGGATTCGTATCAACTCAGTTTTGTTTATTTACATTACCATTCAGCATAAAAGTACATTCATCACTGAAACAAATATTTTTTTAACACTCTCGGTTCAACGCAAATTCTTTCAGTCATGAGTTCATAAAACTCAATTCGTCGGTCTGGATCATCATCGCCTAGTTTTTGAAGAATTTGTGTTCTGTGCGGGTGAAACTTATGCAATTTCAACACCTTTCTAACCGACTCATATGAAAGTCCTGTCACTGCAGATACTTGAGACGTGTTGATGCAGTAGGTTCCATTGCAAAATTTTCAAGGACCTCAATTTGGGTTGCTTTATTCAGTAATCTTGGGGCATTCCTTTTTTTATTTTGCACTGATCCCGTTTCTCTAAACTTTTCAACTAATCGCGGATGTACACGTGACCTACATTTTTGTCCGGATGCCTTTCATGAAATATTTGAGCTGTTTTTGAATAACACTGGTTCTGGAAGGCAAATATGAAAATTTTATTTTTTCAAGCGCTCAGGTATACTGTAAACCATCGTGACAACTACAGCTGAATGACAGTACAGATCGTACAAATGATGAAAACTAATGACATTTAAAAGTCTTAAACAAACCAAAAACTATTGACTTTGACAGAACCCAAAAAACAGATCTTTCCAACTTGTTTTGCAAAAACGGCAAAATTATTTTTTTATTTAACAAAAAAAGTATCGACGGACACTTATCATTTAAAATAATAGTCCGGGAGGTAGCATTATAAATAAAAAAGTCATAGTAAGCCGGCTGATATTAAAGTTCGTACAGACTTTGAAAATAGGTTGTATTATTGTTGACATTTTTAATAAATTTGTAGTTCAACAAAAACCTTATTAAATATTCCATTCAAGCCAAAGTTTCACAATTATTGCTTCACCCAGTACAATTATTATTTATACCATTGGATAGCATTTTTTATAGCTTTTTCAACGATGTATCACAAGTAGGGGTTTGCAATTTAAACTTTTTGAGTTTTGGTGGGTGGGGTCTAAAGCTAGGGGGTTGATGGGGTGAGTTTTCTTTCATGTCACTCTAGTTCCCCCCTAGTATCCCAGAAACGGTTTCAAGCATTTTTCCATATCAGCTTTCGTTCGTGAGATGTGGCCCATTGTAAGTTTTAAAATTGACACACTGTATATCAATTAAATGATATAATTCTATAATACGAAAATTACTGAAGACTTAGACGAGGGGCAAAACTGCGATATTTTGTACAAATAAAATCAGAATGAATAGCTGAAACATCAATCATAATAAACAATAAAACGTGAAATGATAATACAATAAAACGAATGAAATATTAAAAAGAATGAATAGCTGAAACACCAATCATAATAAACAATAAAACGTGAAATGATAATACAATAAAACGAATGAAATATTAAATATACAAAATGAAAATGACCTCAGAGTAAAAAAAACTGAAACATAAAAAGAATTGAAAATAAAAATAAGCAAAAAAATTGAAGAGGCGATTTCAAACCGAGTTACCTCACGACGTTTCGATTGTTAATATCCACAATCATCTTCGGGTCCGAACTAATAAAATTCACCATTGCCATTTTTCGAAAGTTGAAAATTATTTCAAAGCGACCACTTTTCGGAGAGGAGTTTTTAGATTTTTTTCCCCACGGCTCTTATTTTGAAGCAGTAAACGAAAAATAACTAAATGAAATTCATATTGAACAAGAACAAGATTTGGCTATCTATTACGAATCGTACATTTGCTTTCGAAGAAAGGAATAAAAATTCAATAATCATCAAATTAAAATATGAATCACTGATTTTTTTTAAAGAATTTGGAGCGGCGAATTTCCAACACCTTTGTCAGTTTTTTCACTGTTAGTTTTGGAGAGACTACAAGAAATAGATACATTAAGCTCTTGCCAAATTATGTAAGTAGGATGATCCTAGGCGGCTTTGGTAGACAAAGAATACAAACAATAACCGCACTGTCCGTTCTGGCGTCTTTTAACGCGTTTAACACTTGACTTATCCAATGTAAAAGCGCCGCAATGCGGCGCTTTTGCCAGTGTTGCCACAAGCAATTTTTTCATCGAGGTAGATTTCTGGAAGGGAACGGGGTAGAACCGGGGTGGATCCACATTCACACGATGACACCAATCACAGTGACGTATACCTATGATTTTCATTCTTTGTTCTATGATAAATTTGACGATCGTAATCAAAAACATGTCAAATGTCATTGCATCCAAATTTGGGATCGATGTGTTTTCAAACCATTCCTCCTCGAAAATATTAGCTTCCATGTTCTTATGATAGTCAACATTGCAGTCCTCAATTTTTTTCCTTCCTTCACTTCCTCCGCAATGCCCAATGATTAGTGGCGATCCTTCGTTTGCAGGCTTGTTTGGCGTACACATTCTCGAACCATCAGTCCACCCTTTCGCAACTGTGTCGTTACTGTCATACCAAGTTTCGTCCAAATAGAAACGTTGCCGTTGTTCTCATCTATATTTAGTTATTTGTTCTGAACATTTATCACGCAATTCTACTTTTCTTCTGCGTTCCATAACTGCTTGATGTTTGTTAATTATTTTAAATCTAAATCCTAGTTTTTTTATCCAATTCTGAAGAGTTTTGTCACAGCAGCTCACGTTATGACCAGAAGTATTCAATTTATTGCTTATGATTTCAAGTCGTATAATGTTTTTCAATGATTTTATTGGATGAAGATCTAAAGGTTGTGGTAATCCTGATAACATCGCGTCTTGCGTCCAAAAGGTTTGTTTACGCAATGCCCAATGATTAGTGGCGATCCTTCGTTTGCAGGCTTGTTTGGCGTACACATTCTCGAACCATCAGTCCACCCTTTCGCAACTGTGTCGCAGTCGTATAATGTTTTTCAATGATTTTATTGGATGAAGATTTAAAGGTTGTGGTACTCCTGATAACATCGCGTCTTGCGTCCAAAAGGTTTGTTTTTTACTATTTCACGTACAGTTGAGAAAGGGATTTCGGTCAAATCTGATATTGCTTGTAATAGTTTATTTCCCTCGGAACCAAACTTGAGATGTAGATTCTTATATACATTGAAACATACTCTCTGTGTTTCAATATTCAAATGCATCCGAATCTCATTCCCTGGTATCTCTTTTTCGCATTGTTCACCATCGCTATTGGAATCACTACACTGGAAAAAGTCTGCGTTGTTATCACACTCGTTATTACTATTAGTTCTTGTCCAAAGACGCCACATTTTAAATAGATAACAAAAATTTTAAGTGAATATAACTGCACCAATATCGAAATTCAACACTCAAATCGCAATCAGTTCCTGAACTGAACACGACGGCGATAACCAAAGGCCGCACTCTATTCGTCACCGTAACATGACTTCAAATTAAATATTATGACTCTTCAGCAAATCATAAAAGTCGGTTAGTAAAAATTATCCATTACGAAACGTGTGTACAGTCCACACAGAGATGCTGCCGGTTCGTTTCTATGTGTTGGTTTTTATGACCTTTGAGGGTGCCGTCAACTTTGATAGTGTACAATATCGGATACTTTGACTATGCATATAACTGCATTTACATCACAGACTGAGATTGCACATAATATAAACATTTTCACATTTACGTTCTCAACTTCAACTGAAAATGTAGAATGTCATGTCACAAACATCAAATAAACATAAAAAACGCGGTAGATGCAAAAACAAACCTAAATATTTGTTCATTTTTTAAATTTTTATTTTACATCCTTTTGCTTTATATCTGAGCGGGGTAGATTTACTTGAGGGGAGCGAGAGGGTGAAATTGAGTACAAGAGGGGTAGAACTACCCCGTACGGGGTAGCTG